TTGTCGTGGGCCCTTCACTTTCATTACATCGATGTGGATTGCCTCGCGAAATAGCAATAGAACTTTTCCAGGCATTTGTAATTCGTGACCTAATTAGAAAACATCTTGCTTCGAACATAGGAGTTGCTAAGAGTCAAATTCGGAAAAAAAAAACCGATTGTATGGGAAATACTTCAGGAAATTCTGGATGACCATCCTATATTGCTGAATAGAGCACCTACTCTGCATAGATTAGGCATACAGGCATTCCTCCCCGTTTTAGTGGAAGGGCGCGCTATTTGTTTACATCCATTAGTTTGTAAGGGCTTCAATGCACACTTTGACGGGGATCAAATGGCTGTTCATGTGCCTTTATCTTTGGAGGCTCAAGCAGAGGCACGTTTACTTATGTTTTCTCATATGAATCTTTTGTCTCCAACTATTGGGGATCCGATTTCGGCACCAACTCAAGATATGCTTAGTGGATTCTATGTCTTAACGAGTGGAAATCGTCGGGGTATTTGTGTAAATAGGTATAATCCATGTAATCGTAGAAACTATCAAAATGAAGATAATAACTATAAGTATACAAAAAAAAAAGAACCCTTTTTTTGTAATCCCTATGATGCAATTGGAGCTTATCGGCAAAAACGAATCAATTTAGGTAGTCCTTTGTGGCTGCGGTGGCGACTAGATCAACGCGTTATTACTGCAAGAGAAGTTCCCATCGAAATTCACTATGAATCTGTGGGGACCTATTATGAGATTTATGGACACTATCTAATAGTACGAAGTATAAAAAAAGAAATTCTTTATATATATATATATATATATATATATATATATATATATATATATATATATATATATTCGAACCACTCTTGGTCATATTTCCCTTTATCGAGAAATAGAAGAAGCCATACAGGGGTTTTGGCAGGGCTGTTGTAATTCTATGCTACCAACGGGAATTCGAGTCTCTCCGGGTTAACTAGGACCATAAGTGCAGAATTTATACGTGAATCAAGATCTAGAAAAGGAAGTTTTCCAATCACTGACTCAAGCCCATTGTAAAATTCTACTCAGCGCAATATGGAGGTACTGATGGCAGAACGGCCCACTCAGGTCTTTCACAATAAAGTGATAAACGGAACTGCCATGAAACGACTTATTAGTCGATTTATTGATCGCTATAGAATAGGATATACATCACATATCTTAGATCAAGTAAAGACTCTGGGTTTCCGACAAGCTACCGCCGCATCCATTTCATTAGGAATTGATGATCTTTTAACAATACCTTCTAAAAGATGGCTAGTTCAAGACGCTGAACAACAAAGTTTTATTTTGGAAAAACACCATCATTATGGGAATGTACACGCGGTAGAAAAATTACGTCAATCGATCGAAATATGGTATGCCACAAGTGAATATTTGCGACAAGAAATGAATCCTAATTTTAGGATGACCGATCCTTTTAATCCAGTCCATATAATGTCTTTTTCGGGAGCCAGAGGAAATGCATCTCAGGTACATCAATTAGTAGGTATGAGAGGATTAATGTCGGATCCTCAAGGGCAAATGATTGATTTACCCATTCAAAGCAATTTACGCGAAGGACTGTCTTTAACAGAATACATTATTTCTTGTTACGGAGCCCGTAAAGGGGTTGTGGATACCGCTATCCGAACATCAGATGCAGGATATCTCACGCGCAGACTTGTTGAAGTAGTTCAACACATTGTTGTACGTCGAACAGATTGTGGCACCGTTCGAGGTATTTCTGTAAGTCCTCGAAATGGAATGATGACGGACAGGATTTTTATCCAAACATTAATGGGCCGTGTATTAGCAGATGATATATATATAGGTTCGCGATGTATTGCTACTAGAAATCAAGATATTGGGGTTGGACTTGTCAGTAGATTCATAACTTTTAGAGCACACCCAATCTCTATTCGAACCCCCTTTACTTGTAGGAGTACATCTTGGATTTGTCAATTATGTTATGGTCGGAGTCCAGCTCATGACGACCTGGTCGAATTGGGAGAAGCCGTAGGTATTATTGCAGGTCAATCTATTGGAGAACTGGGCACTCAATTAACATTAAGAACTTTTCATACCGGCGGAGTATTTACAGGGGGTACTGCAGAACATGTGCGAGCCCCTTCTAATGGAAAAATAAAATTCAACGAGGATTTGGTTCATCCGACACGTACACATCATGGACATCCTGCTTTTCTATGTTCTAGAGACTTGTATGTAACTATTGAGAGTGAAGATATTATACACACTGTGTGTATTCCGCCCAAAAGTTTTCTTTTAGTTCAAAACGATCAATATGTAGAATCAGAACAAGTGATTGCTGAGATTCGCGCGAGAACCTCCACTTTGAATTTGAAAGAGAAGGTTCAAAAACATATTTATTCTGACTCAGAAGGCGAAATGCACTGGAATACTGATGTGTACCATGCACCTGAATTTACATATGGTAATATTCATCTCTTACCAAAAACAAGTCATTTATGGATATTATTAGGGCAGCCATGGAGATACAGTCTAGGCCCTTGTTCGATCCACAAGGATCAAGATCAAATGAACGCTTATTCTCTTTCTGTCAAGCCAAGATATATTGCTAACCCCTCAGTAACTAATAATCAAGTGAGACACAAATTTTTTAGTTCGTATTTTTCTGGTAAAAATAAAAAAGGAGATAGGATTCCTGATTATTCAGAACTGAATCGAATGACATGTACGGATCATTGTAATCTCAGATATCCGGCCATTCTCGACGGTAATTCTGATTTATTGGCAAAGAGGCGAAGAAATAGATTCATCATCCCACTCGAATCGATTCAAGAAGGCGAGAACCAACTAATACCTTCTTCAGGTATCTCAATGGAAATACCCAGAAATGGTATTCTCCGTAAAAATAGTATTCTTGCTTATTTCGATGATCCTCGATATATAAGAAAGAGCTCGGGACTTACTAAATATGAGACTCGAGAACTAAATTCAATCGTCAACGAAGAGAATTTGATTGAGTATCGAGGAGTCAAGGTATTTTGGCCAAAATACCAAAAGGAAGTAAATCCATTTTTTTTTATTCCCGTGGAAGTCCACATTTTGTCCGAATCTTCTTCCATAATGGTACGGCACAATAGTATTATTGGGGTAGATACACAAATCACTTTCAATAGAAGAAGTCGGGTAGGCGGATTGGTCCGAGTGAAGAAAAAAGCAGAAAAAATGAAACTGATAATCTTTTCTGGAGATATCCATTTTCCTGGAAAGACAAATAAGGCGTTCCGATTGATAACGCCAGGAGGGGGAAAACCAAATTCCAAAGAATACAAAAAATTGAAAAATTGGCTCTATATCCAACGAATGAAACTTTCCAGGTATGAAAAAAAGTATTTTGTTTTGGTTCAACCTGTAGTCCCATACAAAAAAACAAATGGTATAAATTTAGGAAGACTTTTCCCGCCGGATCTCTTGCAGGAAAGTGATAATCTACAACTTCGAGTTGTCAATTATATCCTTTATTACGATCCAATTCTTGAAATTTGGGACACAAGTATTCAGTTAGTTCGGACTTCTTTAGTGTTGAATTGGGACCAAGACAAAAAAAATCGAAAAGGCCTGTGCTTCCTTTGTTGAAATAAGGACAAATGGTTTGCTTAGATATTTTCTAAGAATCGACTTAGCTAAGTCACCTATTTCTTATACCGGAAAAAGGAACGATCTGTCGGGTTCAGGATTGATCTCTGAGAATGGATCAGATCGCGCTAATGTCAATCCATTTTCTTCCATTTATTCCTATTCCAAGTCAAGGATTAAAGAATCCCTTAATCCAAATCAAGGAACTATCCATACGTTGTTGAATCGAAATAAGGAATCTCAATCTTTGATAATTTTGTCATCATCCAATTGTTTTCGAATAGGCCCATTCAACGATGTAAAATCTCCCAATGCGATAAAAAATCAATCAAAAAGAACCCCCTAATTCCAATTAGGAATTCGTTGGGCCCGTTAGGAACAGGTTTTCCAATTTATAATTTTGATTTCTTTTCCCATTTAATAACCCATAATCAGATCTTGGTAACTAACTATTTGCAACTTGACAATTTCAAACAGATTTTTCAAATACTTAAATATTATTTACCGGATGAAAATGGTCAAATTTATAATCCCTATTCATGCAGTAACATCATTTTGAATCCATTTCATTTGAATTGGTATTTTCTCCATTACAATTATTGTGAAGAGACATCTCCAATCGTTAGTCTTGGGCAGTTTCTTTGTGAAAATGTATGTATAGCAAAAAAAGGACCGCATTTTAAACCGGGTCAAGTTCTAATTGTTCAAGTTGACTCTGTGGTAATACGATCAGCTAAGCCTTATTTGGCTACTCCAGGAGCAACTGTTCATGGACATTATGGGGAAATCCTTGATATTGGGGCGCAGACTTCTTTCTTCTATATTTTTCGAGAAAGAGAATTGATATATGACCTATTCGAAGCTGCCACCAGTATGCGAATGATGCACAATTTTTTTCGTATTGGTGGAATCGCTGCTGATTTACCTCATGGGTGGATAGATAAATGTTTGGATTTTTGCGATTATTTTTTAACAGGAATTGCTGAATATCAGAAGCTTATTACGCGGAATCCCATTTTTTTAGAACGAGTTGAAGGAGTAGGCATTATTGGTGGAGAGGAAGCAATAAATTGGGGTTTGTCGGGATCCATGCTACGAGCTTCCGGAATACAATGGGATCTTCGTAAAGTTGATCATTATGAGTGTTACGACGAATTTGATTGGGAAGTCCAATGGCAAAAAGAAGGGGATTCATTAGCTCGTTATTTAGTACGAATCAGTGAAATGACAGAATCCATAAAAATTATTCAACAGGCCCTAGAAGGAATTCCGGGAGGGCCCTATGAAAATTTAGAAATCCGCTGCTTTGATCGAGTAAAAGATACTGTATGGAATGAGTTTGACTATCGATTCATTAGTAAAAA